ATCCAACACAGAGCGCAACCTACTGAAAAGAAGCACGCTATATATACATATCTTATCACGAAATTATAGATTAACACAAACTTATTAGCCATTACTTAAATCATACGTCAAAAATCAGCGCGAAATTCACTGTAATGGTCATCTCTTGAAGCCATGTCATTCTCAACTCTCTCTGCTATCTTTTCTTCCTCGTACTTTATCCCTTCTTCCAGTGCTAGCCCTCCGAGTGCTCCAGCCACAGCTCCAACTGCCAATCCTGTACCCATTCCCATTCCAAATTTTCCACTCCCTCGTTTTTGGTGATCATAGGACGCATAATCCACAGGGGCACTCGGCCCTGGTCCACCATAGTTAGACTGCCTCTCAAAAAACGGCCGAGGAGGAGGTGGTGGCGGCACCTGCGAGTAGTAACCGGGATAGTAGCCTGAGTATGGATCGGAGTACGTGGTGTATGAGAAGGATTGAGGTGCAGGAGGTGGTGGCGGAGATGGCATAGACGGAGGCGGATGAACCATTGAAATACTGGAATAAGGAGCAGCGGAGTATCCTCTGTAGTCGCGTCCGGGGTAAGTCGGCAAGGGAGGGGGAGGTGCAGCAGAGTACATATAGCTGGATGGAGGTGCAGTTTGGTAATTTTCATTGGGGCGTTCACGGAGAGACAATTTCAATCGGATCTTCCCGTGGGGGCGACCCGATGGGCGTTTAAGCTCAAATGATTTGACTCGAGTAGCTGAATCGTTTGAGTCCACCAGGAGATCCCTGAGTTCGATTCGGAGGGTGCCAACCAAGGGTTTCGAAGTCTCCGAGGGTCGGGAGTGGAAGATCTCCAATGTGAGCAGAGAATCTCTAGGAGGAAGAGAGAGCGGCAAAACAAAACGCTCGTTCCATACGGATAGGTTCGTCCCGGAATCATCAGGCTTGGTGGCGAGGCGACGATCCGGGTCGACCCAGAAGATCACGTAAGGCCTGAGTTCTCCCTGACGCCAGTTGACATTCTTCAAGTGCTTTGCGTTGACGATCGTGATGTCGAGATCGTAGAGCTTCGATGGCGCCGGCAGTCGGGAATTGACGGAGGCTGTTGCCATGGTGACAAAGTAGGACCTATGATAACGTGCGCCGGTGGTGTAATTGGAGTGCTAAGGATTAGGGTTGGGGAAAGGAATTTTATATTTTTCGGATGTGTGGATTTGGTGTAAAAGTGGATGTGCGCGTCGGGTCCCATTATTTTTTAGGTGCTGCGATCAACAGCGTTAAGCGTATTGTATAACGTGGAGTTGAATTTATCCAGCCCAATTTTCTCCCTTGTTGGACCGTCAGTATCATGGGCCTATTTGTTAAGGTCCCGTCTATGTGGATCGAGCTAGCAGTTCGCCAATTCCTGGTCACTATTTTATTAAGAGGAAATTACACCTACACTTGCTTTTAGATTTTCATTTTCACAAATAAGGTTACAAGTTTAACATTTCAAAAATCAGATTTTATTTAAAAATTTTAAACCTTTTTTTTATATATAATTAATCTAATCAAACTCTAATAGGAACAAACCGACCGTCACTCCAACTCTCCCCCATTTCTACTCTCTCGCCGTCTCCAGTATCTCCACCCATCGCCGCCTCCACTCCCCTCTCTCCACCCATCGCCGACTCCACCCATCGCCGCCTCCACTCCCTTCTATCGTCTGCACCGTTCTTCTCTCTCTCATATCCGGCGAAGTAGCAGAGAACGGGTCAGATCTGTTCTCTACCCATCCGGCGAAAGACAATCTGGCCAGGACGTCCGGTTGGGAGACTGCAACGCCTCCCTTCACCGCCACTGCAACGCCTCCACTGAAAGACAACGCTGCAAACGGCGTCGATTCACCAGCATCTTCCAATCGCCGGAAAAATAAGTGATGCTGCTGCATGCGTCGTGCGGTGATTGGGTTTTTTCTTGTGTTGCAGTCAAGAGATCTGCACCACCGTGATCCG